GCTCGATTGCAAACTGGAAGATCTCTAGCCCTGGTAAGTCTCTCTCGAAATTGCTAACATTTTTCTTGATTTGCAATGTCTGATTGTTCCCTTTTGATTGATGGTTTCAGGGGATAATCCAGATGATGTAAAAGCTAGACTCAAATATTGGGCACAAGCCGTTGCATGCACTGTTCGATTATGCAGCTGAGCAAGAATCATCTATCATCTTGTTTGGTCGAACCAGAAAATTCTGCAAGAATGAAGTCTCTATGCTATTGTTAGCTTGAGAATAGACCTGCAATGGATAAACTGGTTTGGATTTAATTCTATGTATGTATGCATGTGTAGTAGTATTTTTACTCTAATGAGATTGGAAATAAATGTGTTAATGAATAATAAAACTTCAAATTCTTTGTGTGTGTTTGAGTGCAATGTGGTTTACTTTTTAACATCTGAATTAGGGTTCTTGTCCTCTCATATGCAGTGGTAAGATTCAGAGAGAGACAATCTCAAACTCGTTTTGAAGAAAACTCTGTTTTTTTTTTTTGATNNGGTAATTGATCTCGTGACTTTGCTTCAATCACAAGATGTGAAAAGAAAGCACATGCCTGTGTAGGGAAAAGAATCAGAAACTTTTGTTTTTGTGGTCATAAGTTGTGAACACAAGCTTAACGTGTCGTACACGATAGGGATAAATGTAAAAACAAGATCATTCACATGTTCTTCTCTTGTTACGTATACGACTTACTTTGTCTAATAATGGCCAATAGAAATATTTATTATTACTCAATATAGCTTTTTCAGATTGAGCTTTAAAACAATGATAATATCCATGAAACAACATCTCACAACAATGAGAGGACATCAATTATTTTAGATTCAGAGAAAACAAGTTATGATTCTTAAGACCATTTAGATAGACTGAACGAAAATCGAATAAAATATATAAACGGTTTCTTGAAACTTCTTCTGATGATCAAGAAGAAGCCTGTCCCAACAGAGTTTGAATGTCTTTCTGCATTAATCCAAAAAAATAACCATATTGTAAGATGGTGTGATGAAAATGTTAGGATTTTTGGTTTAGGGGAAAGCTAAACCGGGTCGGTACGTACCTCGAATTGAAGAGGAGAGGTTCTAGGAGAATATCTTTGGAAGACTTTACCATCAGGAGAAACCAAGAATTTGGTGAAGTTCCATTTGATGGCGTCAATAAGCAAACCACCTTTCTCTGCTTTCAAGTATTTGTACAACGGCGCCGTGTTCTTCCCGTTCACATCTACCTACATTACCGTCAACGATTACAAAACGAACATGATTTAGTTTCTGGTTTGTACTATATTTTAAGAATTTGGTAATCTTGATTAGAGTGTGATTTACCGATTAGTAAAAAAGATTAGTTTGGTGCATACAGTTTTAAAGAAAAAAAAAGATTAGTTACCTTGTCAAAAATTGGGAATTCAGCTTTGAATTTGGTGCATACAGTTTGTTGAATCTCTTCATTGTTTCCTGGTTCTTGTCCCAAGAACTGGTTACACGGGAATGCCAATATCTCCAAGCCTATATTATTTAGTTTTAGTCAATTAAAATCCTAATTAGAACCGAGTTTAATTATGTGTGAGTGTATAAAATCACAGACCTTGTTCCTTGTATTTCTCGTACAAAACATTCAGTTCCTTGTAGTTTGCATCCGTCAAACCACTGTAGTAATAAGAAATTTAGTGTTTTAGTTCTACC